TAATATCCAACGTAAGAAAGAAAGGGATGTTTGCCCAAGGAGAGGGGCAGATGGAGTGACAGGGGTCTCAGGGGAAGGAGAGAGGAGCGCTAGAAGGAAAAGGTGAGAAGGTTTTGAGAAGCCTTCCAGGAGAGGAGGCACTTGAGCTGGGCCATTAAGGACAGGGTTAGTTGTAGTTTCTTGGGTTGAACATCTCTGGATGCTCCAGGTGTATACCCAGCCTCGGTTACCTCTGGCCTAGGATGCCTGAGAAAAGGGAGAGGGGCAGTTTTACCCCAGTTATAGGCCAGATTTCAGCCATCTGCTGCCTGTTGACTCCCCGAATCACTTCTCTTTGCTTGAAAGGAAGCTGGGAGGAGGATCTGTGTGTGGCCCATGCTATCCCCCAGGCTCCCTCCACCTCAGAGGTAGAAAATAAGGAAGCGCCATAATGTAGGGGGCATGGACTTGGTACCCAGCACTTCACCTTATTTCATCCTCCTAATTACCCCAAGAGATAGGTCTTTTATCCTCCATGTCACTGAGGAGCAAAGGGACTTTCAAACTTTCCTCTAACTGGCAAGTGCTGGAAACAGGATTTTAATCAAGAACCTCTGGCCCTGATACTCGGGTGGTTTTTGTTTGCTTGGTTGGCTTCTTGTTTTGTTCTGTTGTGTTTTACTTCAGTCCCATGTAGGGAATTAGGGACATCAATCCAGTTCACTAAACCTTTGATTACTGCATTTTGTTTTGTGGGAGCCAAAGAAGAACCCATTAAGACGTCTTAAAAGGCCTCAGGTTCTGCTCAAATTGTTTTTAACCTCTTGGGGGTTGTGAAGAGAGAATGTGAAGTTTCTTGCCCCAGGAATTTGCATAGAGACACATACCCTATGGAATTAGTGACCATCCATGTTCCCCCTTGTCCGCAATCCAAGAAGCAAAGGTTAAAACCCCACAAATCTACAAATAAACACATTCAAACATGTTTCATGCCTTCAGAGAAATTCTCAGAACTCGAAGGGGAAATGAATTCCTTTGTTTCAGGAGGTTGGGATGGTTTTATAGAAGAGCTTCTGCTGTCTAAACTGGCAGTATTCAATTTTTTTTGTTAGTGTGCTTTCCAAATGATTATTGAACAACTATGTACTTCCTGGCACTTTTAGTTGACAGCTAACCTTTTATCATCAAGAGTTTAAATAGTTGCAAAGGCTACAATTTATGACATATTATAAATTCATACACTCAAAAATAAATGTTTATGTCATTCTTTTAAACGTGTCCAGTTGAATTAAATATCCTAGCAATTTGATACCCACAACCATCGTTTTAAAAAATACATGAACAGGGGCGCCTGGGTGGCTCAGTCGTTAAGCGTCTGCCTTCGGCTCAGGTCATGATCCCAGGGTCCTGGGATCAAGCCCTGCATCGGGCTCCCTGCTCAGCGGGAAGCCTGCTTCTCCCTCTCCCGCTCCCCCTGCTTGTGTTCCTTCTCTTGCTTTGTATCTCTCTGTCAAATAAATAAATAAAATCTTTAATAAATAAATAAATAAAAATACATGAACAGAGGGGCCTGGATGGCTTAGTGGGCAGATAGAGCATGTGACTTTTGATTTCTGGGTCATGAGTTTGAGCCCCATGTTGGGTGTAGAGATTACTAAAATCAATCAATCAATCAATCAATCATGAAAGGTCTCTTCTCTAATGGAAATTTCCCATCATTCTTTTTTCTATTCAAACTCAAATTTCCACCCCATGTTTCACCACATTAAAATTTTACCATATGTATTTTTTTTTCTAATTTTAAGTAGGTTCCATGCCCAACATGGAGGGCTTGAACTCATGACCCTGAGATTAAAAGTCCCATGCTCTACTGACTGAGCAAGCCAGGCTCCTCACCAATAATGTATTTTTTAATGCTTAAATAGCTTATTGATAACGCTATCATATTTCTCTGCCTAAAAATACATATATGTAAATGGAATCATTATTTTACCTTCTATGACCAAAAACTAGCTTTAAAATTTTCAATCATTACAATTATCGTAAAAATGCAATTGATCAAAACAGTGTAAATACATTACAATTTTTTGAAGTCCTAAAAGGGTTTTTAATGGTTTTTTGGAGATATAACTGAAATAAAATAAACTACATATTTAAAGTGTGCAATCTGACATATGTCTACACTGGTGAAACCAGTTCTACAAATTTTGATAAATAATTATTAAATAAAAAAAAGTAAGACTGGGGCGTCTGGGTGGCTCAGTCGTTAAGCATCTGCCTTCGGCTCAGGTCATGATCCCAGAGTCCTGGGATCGAGCCCCGCATCGGGCTCCCTGCTGGGCGGGAAGCCTGCTTCTCCCTCTCCCACTCCCCCTGCTTGTGTTCCTTCTCTCGCTGTGTCTCTCTCTGTCAAATAAATAAATAAAATCTTAAAA